AGGGAAGTGGAGGGGACCAATTGGGGGGGGGAATGGGATACCTGTAATACTCTCAACAATAAAGATAAATTTAAAAAGTAAAAAATTTAAAAAATGAAGCAATACAATGAATTGTCATTTGTTGACTCTCAGAATGGCAGAGATAAATACAATTAACAATTTGGTGTTAAGGAGAGCATTTAAGGAAAACAAAGGAACCTCATATCCTGTTATTGTTACAACTCTTTTTGAGGGGAGCAATCTGAAATATGTATCAAGATGTCAAAAATGTAGCCCATGACCCAACACGGGGCCTTAATATCCTGCACTTCTGTGCTGTCCTCACTGGCTCCGCTGCTTCAGAAAATGCCCGAGGACAGAACACACAGCGCAGCCAGGGCTGGGTGCTGTGGGTGCGGGCCCAGCCTGGGGAACCGCAGGGCCACTGTGGCTGAGATCCCAAGGCTTGGGGCTGCGTGGTGGGGCCCAAAGGCACGGCTGCAGGAGGGAGGGAGGAAAAGGGAGCAGGTCCTGGCTCGGGGACAGGCTCCGGGTAGGAGGGCGAGCACATACTGACGGATGATTCTGTTTCTCTAAACCAGTGCGACAGGCCTTCACGGGAAAGTTGGGGACAGGGACAGTTAAGAGGAGAAGCAACACAGTGTGAAGAGTTAGTTGTTCAGGAAGGCTAGCCTCCTGAGAATCAGGCAGGACAGCTGGGTGGTTTCGAGGCCCTCTGGGGCTGGTGGCCAGGAGTTGTCGGTGGTCCCCTTCGGCCTGACCGTGAGTTGGGCTGGGCATGGGTGGCTCCCAACCACCCGAGGACAGGATTAGAGTGGGCAGAGGGCTGTGCTCAGCCAGGAGCCCAACCCTGATCATGATCTGGACGGCGCAGCTAAAGACGGAAAGCGGCGAGGTAGCTCCGGCTATGCCAGGGGGCTGTTCTCGGGACAGAAGGCAGTGATGCGCAGAACTGACCCTGGTTCTCAGGCGCTAAATGTGCATTGGTGCCTGTCCTCTCTTCCTGACCCATCACCTCCCGGGGCACCGAAGCTCCCCACCCCCCACTCCCCAGAGGGCTCCTGTCCAGTGGTAAGGAGGGGGAGCCCAGAGTCCCCACCTTCCCCCAGAGCCCATCCCACCACAGCCTCCTTGCCTGTTGCAGAGATCGGTGTGGGCACCGCCGGCTTCGGTGTCTTTTTCGTCTTCTTGGGAATGCTCCTGTACTTTGATTCCGTGCTCCTGGCCTTCGGAAACGTGAGTGCCCCTGGCCTGTGGACTGCCCCAAGCTTCCTGAGGTCTCTATTGCTGGGGTCAGCCCTAAGCTCCTTCAGATTGTGCCCATCCAGGGGTCAGGTGCCACCAAGCCTGGGGGGATGCACAGCAGGTCCTGCTGGGCAGAGAACCTGAGGACCTGGATTCTCACGCCAAGCTCCGAGTGAGGCTCTGGGGGTGCCAGGAGGAATTAGACACTGTCCCTCCTTTGGACTCCCACCAGCTAGGGGCAGGGATGTCACACGCACATACACGACTGGGGAGGAAGGCAGAGGTGTGCAGTCACCATAAGACAAACACATTTAATAGGAAACAAAGTGCTTGGAGGAAAGAGCATACTCAACTGGGAAAGGGTGAGAAGGAATTTGGAAAGGAAAATGGGTTGGGGGCTGGATAAAGCACGTTCAGGTGGACGGAACATGCTGGAAGGAAGCCAGAGTTAAATTTGACAGGAGCCTGGGCACTCTTAGGGATCCTTAGGAGCCACACTGCAGACCATGGCAGGGCCAGATAATGGAGGGCTGGGGGGTACAGTTCCGTGGGCAGTGGAGCCCTGGTGGTCCGTGCGACTTTGGGTTTGGCTGCCTAACCTATGTAGGCCTGGTTTTCACCTTCCTGAAGTGGAGAGCCTCTCACTATCTATCCCACCTTCCTCGGAAGGTGTGATGAGAAATGAAGTCATATATGGAGAACTGGTTGGGATCCAAGAAACTGGGTTGAATTGGGTGAGAGATTCCAGAACCTCTAGGTTCTCCTTGGCCGGCCCCCTGCCTCTGGGCATTATTCAAGGCTGTCATTCCGCCCCATGGCTGTGTCACCCTCTCTGAAATCGCCCCTCCTTGCAGAGTTAGCCAGTCCCGCCCCGTGATGGGGGCCCCCGAGGCGCGGGGCAGGTGGCACTCACGCTCCTCTTCTTCTGCCCAGCTGCTGTTCCTGACCGGCCTCTCCCTCGTCATCGGCCTGAGGAAGACCTTCTTCTTCTTCTTCCAGAGGCACAAGCTCAAGGGCACCGGCTTCTTCCTGGGGGGCGTGATCGTTGTGCTCCTGCGCTGGCCCCTCCTGGGGATGCTTCTAGAAACCTACGGATTCTTTAACCTCTTCAAGTGAGTGCAGATCCCTTGCCCTGGATGGGCCACCAGGTTTGGGCAGCACAGCCAGCTGGGTGCAGAAGCTGGACTCACCCCGCAGGAGAAGGGAACCATGAGAGGATTGGAAATGGGGAGGGGCATCGGGCTGACCTTGGGAAGGCGCCTCCAACAGTAGGTTGAAGGACACATCGGAGTGATCTGCCCGTCCATCAGCACACATTGAGCACCTGCTGTGTGCCCAGCACTGTGCAGTCACCAGGGAAGACATACAGGGCCCATGCTCAAGCTGAACGGTCCAGGCGGGACGCAAGGGCAGGGAGCTAACATTTGCTAGGCCCCAAGTATGCACCCAGCACCCTCACCAGCAGAATCTCACTTTGTCATCTCCACAACCCACTGTAGGATTGTTCTCTACAGATATGGAAACCAACACTCAGAAAGGCTGCCCCTGCCCCAGGTCTCACAGGCAGTGTGCAGAGGATCTGACCTGGATCCAGCTGTCCTTGGCTCCTGGCTCCACATCCCTTGGCCTGTCAGTGTCAGCCTGGGCCTGGTGAAAGGCAAGGTGGGACTCAGTGGAGAAGTGTATCCATTACCAGGGCCAGAGTGTGTCCTACAGGAAGCAGGACCTGAGACAGGTCTTGAGGGATGGGCAGGGTCTAAGAGAAGACTGGAGGGCCCTGAGGAGGAAGGAAAGGACCCTAGGGAAGGTNGGTCTTGAGGGATGGGCAGGGTCTAAGAGAAGACTGGAGGGCCCTGAGGACGAAGGAAAGGACCCTAGGGAAGGTGGGGGGGGGTGGTGGCAGGAAAGACTCCCAGCGTCTCTGTGGTGCTGTGGAGAGAGCAGGGGCGAGATGGGATGATGGAGCCTGGAAGACTCATGGCCTATGGAATCATGGCAAGGAGCTGGGGTCAGGAACCCAGCGTTCCCATAGGAGCCCTCGCTCTGCTCAGTGTAGCCTTGAAAACACCCCTGATTAGCCTGGATGCCTACACCTCGCAAACATCACGCAGCGTGGCCTCAAGAAAAAAAATGTCCTCACACATGTTCTGCCATCGATTCGGTTAATATTCAGTCATTTGTTCAGAGTCGCATATATAAAAAGCACATACTCTGTGCCCCATGCATGGCTAGGTCTGGGGACACAGCGCTAAACAGGGAGAGACTTCCTGAGGACTTGCAATGCAGTAGGGAAAACAAATAAATCTGACAACAGTCATGCAGACCACTTATTGAGGGCTTCTGACTGTGAGCAGGGCCACTGACGATTCAGTAGTTTAAACCCAAAGTCAACCTGGACAAAGACACCTTACAGCAGCACTGCGTGGGTGGGAGTGGGGTCAGAGCATGAGACCTCAGGGATGCAGGTGAACCTCAGGAAACTGTGGCCCAAGACAAGGAAATAACTCAGGCAGAATTCACATTTCTGACCCCCTGACCTCTCTGCTACACACAGGGCTCCCTTCCCGCTTCAGCCTCGGTGCCTCCAAGCCCTCTGAAGGACCACACCTGTGTGCTCAGCCATGCCCTGTAGGGTGTGTGTCATGAGAGTGGGAGGCCGAGGCAGGAGGGAGAACAGACATGAGCACAGCCCCCAAAAGCTGGCCCTGCCTGGAGCCCAGGTGACCTGCAGCAGGTGGTGCCACCCCATCTGGGGAGGAGAAGACAGTGACAATAATAAAATTTAAAAAATCCTAAGCATTTCTTCATGTAGGGCCCTAGGATATAGATACTATTATTAACCACATTTTACAGCTGAAAACTGATGCAGAAAAATAAGGAATTTGCCCAAGTGTGTACAGTGCTAGTAAGTGGTAGAGCCAAAATTGGAATCCAAGGAATCTGGCCCCAGGGACTTCATTCTTAACTATTCCACTTGGCTGCCTCTAACACAGCAGGAGTGCAGAACCAAGCCTGCCCCAGTGCCTGGGGGCCCACTCTCTTGGGCGCCAAAGCTGGAGCCTTTCTGTGACCTCAGCCTTGCCACCCTCTGTTCTCCCCTCCCAGGCCATCACTGACCCTTCCCTCCACCCCTGTGTTCTAGGAGCTTTTTCCCTGTTGCCTTTGGCTTCCTGGGCAATGCCTTTAACATACCCTTCCTGAGTGCGGTAAGTGCATCGTGCATGTGGTTGGTGGTGGGGCCTTGGGGCGGGGAGAGCACAAGGAGTTGGTAAAATTGCTGCCCCAGGTGCAGTGGACCTTCCCCATCTCCCCTTGCACTCCCTTCCCCAGGTTGGCTGCCTCAGCTCCTTTTCTCCTCCTTACTCTTTCTCCATTTGACAAGAGCAGATGAAGTTGAGAGGACCCGGGAGCGGCTGTGCCTAAGGAATGGCTATAGAGGAAGGAATGGGCATGAAAGAAGGAATGGACATGGAGGAAGGAATGGGCAGGGAGGAAGGAATGGGCATGGAGGAAGGAGTGGGCATGGAGGAAGGAGTGGGCAGAGAGGAAGGAATGGGCATGGAGGAAGGAATGGGCATGGAGGAAGGAGTGGGCAGGGAGGAAGGAATGGGCATGGAGGAAGGAATGGGCAGGGAGGAAGGAATGGGCATGGAGGAAGGAATGGGCATGGAGGAAGGAATGGGCATGGAAGAAGGAATGGGCAGGGAGGAAGGAATGGGCATGGAGGAAGGAATGGGCATGGAGGAAGGAATGGGCAGGGAGGAAGGAATGGGCATGGAAGAAGGAATGGGCAGGGAGGAAGGAATGGGCATGGAGGAAGGAATGGGCATGGAGGAAGGAATGGGCAGGGAGGAAGGAATGGGCATGGAAGAAGGAATGGGCAGGGAGGAAGGAATGGGCATGGAGGAAGGAATGGGCATGGAGGAAGGAATGGGCAGGGAGGAAGGAATGGGCATGGAGGAAGGAATGGGCAGGGAGGAAGGAATGGGCATGGAGGAAGGAATGGGCATGGAGGAAGGAATGGGCAGGGAGGAAGGAATGGGCATGGAGGAAGGAATGGGCAGGGAGGAAGGAATGGGCATGGAGGAAGGAATGGGCATGGAGGAAGGAATGGGCAGGGAGGAAGGAATGGGCATGGAAGAAGGAATGGGCAGGGAGGAAGGAATGGGCATGGAAGAAGGAATGGGCAGGGAGGAAGGAATGGGCATGGAAGAAGGAATGGGCATGGAGGAAGGAATGGGCAGGGAGGAAGGAATGAGCATGGAGGAAGGAGTGGGCAGAGAGGAAGCACTGGGTATGGAGGAAGGAATGGGCATGGAGGAAGGAATGGGCATGGAAGAAGGAATGGGTATGGAGGAAGGAATAGGTAGAAAAAAATGGGCTTATTATAGCCAAAGAAACAGAAACTCAGAGAGTCTAGGTGAACCCAGCCAGAAAGTGCTAGAGATTTCTGGGGAGCGGGCTGAGTCTGGGCCCCAGGTATGGAGATGTGTGGCAGCTAATGACAGCAGGAAAAGCTGTGGCAGAGTCTGTCCTCTCTTTGGGGTGGGCGTGGGCAGTGGTCCCCAGTGCTTTCCCCTCGCTCTTTCTCTGAAGCATCTCTTAAAGCCCAGCGAGGCCCTACAGCCAGCATCCTGATGCGTCTACCAGCTGGGCACATCCCTGCAACCCCCTCTCCATATCTGCGCTTGGCACAGCTCCCACCTCTCAAGGCCAGCTTCATAATAACCTAGATATTGAGTCTGCTCTCCACTCTTTGTCTGGAGTAATGATTCTTGGCTCCCACAGCTGTTCCAGAGGTTTCAAGGCTCCAGCTCAATGGTCTGAACAGCAGAGATGAACTCCTTGAACTTGGATCATTGGTTGAGGGGGCTGAAAAGGAAATGGGGCCACCCTCTCAGGCCCCCATCCTGCACTAGTTCATCTATCCTGCATGCCCGAACTTCTCCAAGTCCAGAAGGAAGGATGGCTCCAGGTGACCGACCTCAAATTCTCTAGTCAACTCAAGAGGCCGTCAGGATTGTTGAGAGCAGAGATCCAGGGCCCCGCAGAGATCGGACTGGGGCTGGTATCACATCCCACTTTGTATTTATGGGAGAAAAAGCAAAGATTAAATCCTCAAGCTGTGAGTGTGTCTGAGACTCAGTATCTCTAGCCTGGTCAGTCCATCTCTTGACTCAGGGCGGGCTGACCCTCACAAGCACACATGTACGTCATTCTGTATGGCAAGGGGCAGGCCTGATCTTACAGGCTCGTTTTTATCCTGAGTGACATGATGTGCAGCCCCTGTGAGCAGAAAGCATTAGACAAGTGACTGCGGACCGGCAGGAAGTGCTTCTCAGTCATTAGGTGGATGTCTGCACAGTGCACCCGCCAGCTAGAGCCTGTCTGATAGAGACCTAGCCTCTGCCTTCAGAGACCCCCAGTTTAACAGAAGGAATTGTCTCTGTCCTAGGGAGCCCCTCGCCCAAGAGTCAAGATCATTATTGCAGGCCCAAGAAAGAGACACCCTACATGTAGGGTATCCCCAAAACATGTATACACACTGTAACAGCTGATAGCTATTAAATGAAAATGAAACGTATTTTAATAAACACTGCCTTTATAATTCTTCCAAGTGTGTGTATACATTTTTTGGGACACCCTGTATTTAGTGAATATCTTTGAGGGCCCTCTATGTCTGTACTGAGCAATAAAGTGGGTCCTGAGGGTGCAAAAGGAAGGAGAGCTGTCCCTGCCTTCAATGTGGGGTACACAGCAACAAAGCACTATGATCATGGATGCCAAACACATAAAGGTGGGGTCCTGAGAGCAGCACCTTCTGATAGGATGTTGCCTGAAAATCGCTTCTCCACGTTCCCTTAGCACTTCCAGACACAGCCACCTTCTAGCTACCGCTGTATTTCGCTTTCTTAGACAGCTGCTTACAGATCTGTCTCCCCATCTGACCATGTTAAATTCACCTCAAAACCCTGAGCTAGGCAGGTGCTCAGTAACTGGGGAAAGAAGGAAAAATGAAGGGAATCCCCCCCAGTTGCAAATGACAGCCCAGGAGCCCCCTTCTGGTCTGTGACCCAGGCCAGCTGGAGCGGCCCCTGGGTCCCACTCTGCCCTCGCCTCTCCTCCTCCCTTTCAGGATGCTCACTTCACACTGGGTGTGTTAGTGGCTCTTGTCTGGTGGGGGAACATTTCCTGCTGACCCCCCCACTCCTCCTCAAACAGTCCATTTCCACACTGCTTAGAGCACAATGGGTCTCCTACTGAGTGGGTCTGGGACGAGAGGAGCCGGAGGAAGATGGAATGGAAAGAACTCGTGGGAATCAGGAAGCCAGCCTTGGAGGGCTCCTGGGGCGGGGGACGGGGGGGAGGTTTCAGTCGTGAGAGCCAGGAGGCTGGAGATAGCAGTCTGTGCTCTCTAAGGGGGTCTGAGGAGGAGGGAGAGGGAGTCAAAGGGGGGGGGCTATGCCTGGAGACGTCACCCTGGGCTTTATAAAAGGAACAGGGATATGATCAGGGAGCTGGCAAGAGCGAGCCCAGCTCCCCTCCCTCTGGGTGTTCACTCGCCTAAGTAGTGCCATCACCAGAGACCCTGCGGAGCTCCCACCCCATCAGGACCCAGGACGGAGCCAGGTAGGTGCGCTGTGCATCCACACGTGGGGAGGGGTCTGCCCAGACCCAGGGAGGCTCTCCCAATGGGGACAGGAACTGAGTTCCAAGACTGACTGATGTGTCCTAGACAGGCAAAGGGGGCCTGATTGGCCCTGATTACAAGGTTGGCCAGGTTATTCCGGGATGTCTAGGCGAATACATTGATTTGCACTTCACTTGTGAGGCCATGACCCTCTCAAGGACTCCTCATTGTGGCAGGAATAATTGCGATGAATGAATTGTAATCCATTGTAATTACTGAATAAACTCTGTGGCTGGAATTAGCGGCCACCGGAACTTTTGGGGAGACCTGGGGTACCCCGCACAGTTCATGGGCTCAACAGTTCTCCTCTGAGCTGTTCCCCCAATTTATGGATGGCAAATACAAACCTAACCAAAGAGCCCCTCCCACCCTGCTAGACCCCTGTACTATGAAGGTCACTCCAGGAAGGAGCCACCCCATTTTAAAAGCTTTCCAATCCCGCCTAGAATTTCTGTTACTCATTAGGCACAAACACTCCTGGGGTGGGGGAGCCACGAAAATTCCCCAGAGCAGGACAGCCACTGTGGACCCTTGGAAGCTGGCAGTTCTTTTCCAAGCAATTCATTCCTACCACATGTGTTAAGAGTCTGAGGAGTGTGTGAGTGCGTGAGTGTGTGAGTGAGTGTGTGTGTGTGTGCACGTTGGAACAAGCAGCAGGAAAATCAGAACTCTCACGCACCCCGCTATCTTTGCTGGGGAGGAGGGGAGCACGGAAGGAGCACCGCTCCTAGCCCCGCAGCCTGCCCGCCTCCCTTCTTTCACCGCCCTGCGCCTGCGGAGCAGCCAGAACGCTCCGTGTGAAATGCTAGTCTGCACACATTCCTCTCTGTCTCGGACCCTCCGGGTGAAGCCCCTGCGTGGCCCTTCATCACTTTCCTTTTCTCCAGCAGAGCCTCGCCCTCTGGCAGACTCAAGGGCCTGCAGTTCCCCCCACACCCAGTCCTGGCCCTCCCACCTGCCTTTCGTGTGAGCCTTTATTCAGCTTCCCCACCTGCTCAGAGACCCAGCTCAGGAGCCACCCCTGCAGAAAGCTGGCCTGGGCCCTCCAGGACCGGCTCCCAAAGGCTCCCAAAGACCCTGTGTACTCACACACCTTCAGCCTATCAATTACAGTGTCATTTTATTTTATTTAAATATATTTTTTTTATATCAGAGAGAGGAAGGGAGAGGGAGAGGGAGAGAGAGAAACATCAATGATGAGAGCGAGCCATTGATCCCCTGCCTCCTGCATGCCCCCCACGGGGGATCGAGCCTGTTTTGCCTTGACCAGGAATCGAACCATGATCTCCTGGTTCATAGGTTGATGCTCAACCACTAAGCCATGCCGGCTGGGCTACAGTGTCATTTTAAAATGGTCTGCTTAGGACTCAATTTTTGTGCTAGACTTGAGATAGGGGTTGAGGGGTTGGCAGCAACCCTGTGTCTTAGCACCTGTGCACCCTTACATCTAACACAGCACCCAGTCAGTACTCAAAAAATGATTTCCAAATAAACCTGGACCTTGTGCATATCCACAGTCTGAAGCCACACAAAAAATGGTTTTACTCTCTTCTCTCTAATGAACCAATCCTACCTCTACTCCCTGCCCCTTAAGGCAGGTGCAGAAGGCCATGGACTGGGTTTCCGGCTGTCACAGAATCAGAGTCTGCAAGGATAAGTGGTTATCCGTGGGGCCAATCGGTAGCCAGTCTAACCCAATGGTCTTATTTTACAGGTGGAGCAATAAGGCCCAGAGATGGGGGTGACTTGCTCCTGTCTCACAGGGACAGCGCGCATAGCTGGGGCCAGATCCAAATACTCCTGATTCCATTTCGGGACTCTTCCCCTTCTCACCATGCCTGGGCCCTGGAGGGAACAGGAGGGAACGGGAGTGGGGCAAGAACAGAAGGATGGGTGGGGCTGATGGGCACACGCGATAGTCCCAACCCCCACTGCTCCTCACCCCAATCCAGAGTGGCTCCAGCCTTAGATCTGGTGTCACACCCTTTTGTCTCCACCTGCAGCTCTACTGCCTCCCATCAGTTTGCTTTTAATCATGTTTGTTGGACAATGTCCAAGTGTATGATGACTTTTTCAAAGAGAAATTAGACTTGGGAGCTGGAAGAGATGGGAGGGGGCAGGAGGGGGTAAAGGGAAAGAGGCTGGAGCGAGGGTCAGGGTACACAGCTCCCATGTCAACAGCCAAAATTACGAGGTCAATTCACTTCACATCCTCTCAGAGCCCACAGAAAATAGAATACGGGGACAACTTCCCTGACAAATCAGGGAAAGGGTTTTCTCTTCCCTGAATTGTAGGCAGTAAGACAATTTAATGATGGTCTTCAGGCTGCCAAAGGCTGCAAGAGAGAGCAAGATGATTGCTTTCTTCCTGATTGCTTTCTGCTTCTCAAGGAAGAGAATTGCTTCTATTACAGCAGGAGGGAAACGGGCCAGGCTGAGAAGGCCTATTGGAATGGGGACAGTCGCAGATCTACGCAGAGCCCAGCATGAAGGGAGGTGCCCAGGCTCCAGAGAGAATGTCTGGGCCTCAGTGTCCTCCATGAGGTGGGACTCCTTGGCCCACTTCACTGCACCCCTCGCTGCTCACGCCGACACTCATATCTCACCTCTCATTTCTCCAGCATTCCTCTCAAGCAAACCCGAGATTCAGAATTCTGGCCCCTTTCCAACCTGAGCAGTCTTGCCTCTCCCACCAGTGGGGATCCTTCCTTCCTAGCCTGACTGGCCTCCAGGAAGCCCTCCCTGATCTAGAATGAGTTCAGCTTTGACTATACTGTGCAAGTGATCTCAGTTCCATTTCCATGATGTGTCTGTTCGGACTCACTCCTCCACTGGGGCCTCCAAGGGCAGAGGCTGTCTCCTCCCTTCACATGGGCTCTGCCCCTGCACCCAGCCCAGACCTGTGCCTGACCCAGTCCCTCCTCCCTCTCTCTGTCTTGGCCTCAGGGCACTTCTAGGACCCTCGGTTTCTCACCAGGATGAACCTACTGGTTTCGTGGCAGCTGCTGTTTTTCCTCTGTGCCATCTCCTTCAGGGAGACACTAGAAAAGGTGGCTCCCATGGAGAATCCTCGATCCACAGGTATGAGTTGTCTGGGGAAAAGGGTGGAAGGGAGCAAGTGAGTTGTATCAAAATGAAACTGACCACATTTTTCAGATTATGGCTAATCTATTGATGTGAGTTAAACAATGTATTTAATGGAACCCAAGACTGGCACATGCAGCTCATTTCATGGCCCCATTAACCTTGCAAGTTAGGGGTGGCTTTCCTGCTGCGGCATTAGTGGGCTCGCCTACCTAGGTTCAGGTCCTGGTTAACCACCATGCTCCTTCATGGTTTTCTCACACTGTGTTCCCTGCTCCATGCCAATCACCTCTCTGGGCAGAGCTGTTGGGAAGGAATTTACAATGCAAGTTTCCTTCATCAGTGACCCCAGTCCCTTTATGGGGAATTTGGGGAGGAAAAAAACTAAACAAAAAAGCAAATCCTATCAACTTTACGAGTTTGCTGTGGTACCGATGAGCTGGAGAAACTGAGGCCCAAAGATGTAAAGATGCCTCTCCAAAGCCACTCAGTCAAACACTGCAGAGCCCAGCAGGTGCCAGAGCTCCTGAAGAGGGTGTTTCTGAGTGGCACACGTCAGAGTGGTGCTACTCCCCAAGTCAGCAGTTGTGGGTTTAACACTGCTTGGTTCAGCTTTCTGGGCCAGCTAGAACCATGGCCTAGCCTGTCTGGACTGCAGTTCCTCTAGCTATGGAGCATAGCTTCACATGTGATACACTGTGCCCATAAAATGTCCCAGAACAAAGAGAACATGGTCCCAGTGTCCTTTGCCAAGAGTATCTTCTCTCCTGGGATCAGGTGTCCTTTCTGGATGAAAATGACCTCACCACTGCCCAGGAGCATTGAGTTTGTTAGCTGTTTTGGGCAAAAAGCTTTAGGTGAGGCCACAAAAGGTAGCTTGAGAAGTGATTCTACTGCTGGGATAGCAGGTAAAACTGGGAAGGAAGCCATTGTCCCTCCCCATCTCAGGCAGGCCCTAGGCAAGGTGGGAGGGACCTCTGAGGAAGATGCCCACACTCCTCTTCTCCAAAGTAGCCAGGGCATTGAAGCGTGGGCCTCAAAGCCAGCAACCCCCACAACTCACAACCACTCACACACCAGGCCTCATTTCCGCTAATCAATTGCCACAATTGGCTGGGGTCATTGTGTACTCAGAGCTAGTTGCACTACTTTTCTATCCAAAATTATATGGATAGAAATTAATGGGCCTTGCATGTGAAGTGCCTTCCAAATTAGCCTTGTTAACCCTCAGTATGAAGAGATTGTACCCAAAGATTATACCCAAATGGGGGAGGTGAGCCGGATATGGTGACCCAGATAATTTCTGTTTTTCACTGAGTCCTTATATAGCTTATTTAGAGAGCTACAATTATTGGGGGTTGTGGGGGAACAATGGTCTTAGCTCCACTTTCTTGATTTCTGTAGCTACAAGCTTTTCATTAGCTTTTATATCCTTAACAAGCATTTCCTGAGGCCCTATTATGTTTGAGGCCCTGTTTCAAGCACTCTGAGAGGTAAGGAGATGAATGCTCATGGCCCCACCTGCTCCAAGGACTCACAGTCCAGCTGGGGAGCCCGATGCAGAAACTGGACAGAGGGTCAGGCAGAGAGCCAAGCTGAACCAGCAAACACCGTAGTTTTCTTTAGGTTCGATTCCTAAAAGGAAGTAATTTCATATAAAAGATATTGAAGATAATTCTGGAAAACATCTGAAATCAAAACTATGTTGAAAGAGGGAGGAACCAATGGCCTAAGCACCCAGCTCAGATGCTGGTGCTCCCGGCTGAGCTCTGAGCTCCCTGGAGGCCAAGGAACAAAGGGGAAGCACAGGATGGGCTGTGAGCAGGTGCTGCAGGAGGCTCTCCTGGCCGTCCTCACAGTGTCTCCCTGTGGCTCTGTCCTAGGCCAACAGCTCGGCCCCCTGGTGCTCCGGGCCGCCTGGGAGCAGAGCCCGCGGTGCGGGGCCTCCGAGGGC